AATTTAATTCATTTGATGGCTTTTTGCATTTATTTCGGAATATGTGACAGTGACCTCTCTCAGGTATCAAGGATAATGCATCTGTTGTGTTCTGTGTTTCCAGGGAGACATGTCTGTACCTTGAGAAGTTTGCAGCTGGATGCTGTGTATATAAGGATGAAGTAGGTTTTGCATTGTTTTTGTGGCTATGAAAAGATTTCACCTGTAAACCATTTAAAAATGCTGTATGTGACATGGGGCTTATTAACAACACATGCCAAGGAAACACAGTAAACATTACAGAAAACTTTATAATATAGTAATTTATTCTTTGGAATCGTAGATATATAAAATATTATGCATATAGAGACGTGGCAGTTTGCCAGAAGTGTGGAAATAAAAAGATGATGTGTTACAAAGACCTTAAATTATATCATACAATTTCTGCTCAGGATCTTTTCATTATCCCTTCATGGAATTTGGCCTGTGTAGTTCAGCATTCAGCTTTTCCCATGGCCACTACCACCCTCTGCTTACTTCTCAACTTTCACAGTAATCAGAATTCTCTTATTTCACATGCTAGTAATTACATGAATAATTACTATAGTGTATGCTTTCCCGTAGCTCCAAAATCATGGTCATCTGGTTCAAAGTTAGTGAAATAAACAGGCAAACTTCACTTTAATTTAGATGGAACAAAAAAGCTTGCCCTGATCAATACTTTGAATTACCTTGGAGCATCCTTTGGTCAGAGAGCTATAAAGAATCCATCTCTCCTGTCCTTGTGTCTTTTTCCCATGGACATGGGCTCTCTAGTTCTCCTTCATGTCCACAGTTACTTTCTATTCTTTCCATGATTTATGATTCCTTCCATGATCATGCTCCAGCTGGGTCGTGAGAGATCCTTTCTTCTGTGTCTTTCCTTCTCTTCCTCCCTCTGTGGTATGACCTGCAGAAATTTTAGGTAACAGTAGAAAAACTCAAGAGCAAGTATATTCAAAGGAGCATTGTGTTTGGCAGAAGTAAATCCTGGGATGGTCCAAGCCATTAGGTATTAATGGAGAGGTTTCCCCATCAGTCTCTACAGTGAGAGAGGTTACTTGGGGCACAGTTTATTGCTGCTTGTGTGAAATGTTCACAAAAGAAAAAGAGAGAGGAAATGAAGGTAATTTTCTTGTCAGGAGCTGGGCTGAAGGAAGCTGGGGTTTGAGAAGGCAGCTTGAGTGTGTGGCAGATTGAAACAAAACGTTCTTGTCATAAGTGGTACCACTCAGGCTTCCCCCTCAGGCAAGGTATATGCAAGTAATTGCTGGTAGATTTTTTAAAAATGTGTCTCTCCTGGCATACATTTGGGTATAACATTATCACTTCTGACTAGTCTCTGTAACCAGCCGTGTAAAGAGGTGTTAAAGGAAGGGATTGCCACCCATAGCTCTGGGGCTGGGCATCCTCCTCCCTGCTGTACCCCAGCGTGGGGACCTGCTGTCTCTGTCCCAGGCTGGTGAAGGTGGCTGCTGCTTTCCTGCTCAATCAGTAGCACCTTCCGCTGTGCACAGGGCTCACACAAGCACCAACAGCCAAGTCCCTGTCTCCCCTTTGGCTGACAAGGCTGAGGGTCACTAGTGAAAACACACACTCTTCCCGCCCCTCTGTCCTCACAAGCACATGCATTGTTGCAGATCCCCAAGTACAGGCATAGCCTCCCTGGTTTTCTCATAGCCCTGTCCATATCCCAGACCTTCTTACCTGCTCCATGGTCCCAACTCACCAGCTGTTCAGTCTTGGTGCACAGTGCATTTTGACAAGGTTCTTGTGCAGCTGATCTGAAACAAGCATCCTCCTACTCCACATACTCCGCCAAGTACTCTGGCTGACCAGGGCTGTCCCTCTTGCTGTCTCTGTGAGTGTTGTTTGGGTGCATTGTACGTCTCTATGTTTGGCTTCGTCCCTTTGTCATTCCACTTGACAAGGTCCTTGATCAAATGACATTAATGAAGCAAGCACTCTCTCCTTCCATATGCTCTGACAGGTAGATTCCAGCTGGGTTCAGATAATGTCTTTTTCTGAAGGAAGGCATCTTGACACCCTTAGCATGCAGTCCTAATTAAAAACTATATCCTTTGCTTGTTTAGGGGGCTCTGCTCCTCTCTGTAAGCAATCTGAGACGATGGAATTCTTCCCCCCAACCACGTCCCATGTATTCAGTGGAGCAGCAAGGGGAGGAGGGAGAATAGGACAGGAAGACACATATTTACTCCTACACAAGTGCAATCAGAGCAGCAGCTAGAAGCAGGAATACACACCGACAGACTGACAGGCACACAGCACTCATTAGGTGAGCCAGCAGCCCTGCAGGGATGCTCCTGGGCCTTCCTGACAGTGACTGTACTGCTGCTTCTCTCCAGAGTGTTTGGGTGTCAGACCACACTTACCATGCACAGGAAAAGAAATCTCTCTGCAACATTTCTGGCGTAAGATATCACTTGGAAAATGTATCCCAGCTGGAGCTAGGGACCATCTGTGTAGAGTTCGTAGCTCCTGGCTACATGAAAACAAGCAGTTCAGTAGCCTCCCCAGTCTCAGGATAGCTGTCAAATGTATTTTAATTGAAGGGCAACTTCTTGCCTCCCTCTCATACCAGCTTGGTGCTTAATTATTTGCAACTGCTTGGATACCCAAACTTAACTGTTGTTGTATGCTTTTTTTTTTTCCTTAAGTTTTTGTGGCAATTTTCCTGGCTCTCCACAGGAGAGGCACATTTAGCTTCTTTCCAATTCCTTTCTCAATTTTTTTGATTTCTACCTCTGTATTGATACATTACTGTATTTGTCAGAGTCTGCCTTCAGGGAAGTTTTTTCAAGTCTTATTTGGGCTTATTATCCACCCACTCTTCTGTCACTTTCAGTGGTAATTTTTTCATTGCATTGTTTTTTTTCCCAGATGCATTCATGTGGGAATTTTCATTCCCTTGCTGCTTTTCCCTTTGTCACTTAAGGTGGGAAACATGGGAAAAAGCCAAACCAGTTCCAATCAGTACTAGATCTCACAACTGATACCTCTTCAGTGCCCTAAGGCAGGTGTCTGCTTAGGCATAAATCAAAACCCCTGCAGTAGAAAACCCAAGAGCTGTATGTGAGAAACCTTATCCCATGCTGTGTGCACTGTTCCAGTGCTTTCTGCCCTTTGGAGTAGAAGTTATGTGATTTAATGGTTGACTCCAAAAGCAGACATCTAAATTTAAAATGGCCAATCTGATAACCTCCTTTTTCTTTTTTTTTTCCCTCCTTGTTCCAGACAGGATAGTTTAAAACTTACTTTTACAGCTTATGCCCCAAAATGCCTTGACAGACCTGAGCCACTCCATGCCTTGGTCATACATTCAGGTTTGCCTGTTGTCCAGGGGTGAAATACCTGCCTAAGTTCATGCTTTTTGTTCCTGAGGATCCTCAAATACAGCAACAGCCACATTTCCTCCCTCCCTCCCTCCC